AATGGTGCAGCAAATGATACCGCCAATAACAACGTACAACGTATTACAAAAATATATATATATAAAATAACAACGTACGTATAAAAATAGGAACAAACTAAAGTTCCCGATTCCGGAGTGATAATAGTTTTTCTTTGTTCACCGCTTTCGTGTATCGAATACCCATTTCAAATCCTACATCATCATAACATCATTATCAGTCAATAAATAAATAAATATGTTAAATACCTACTAATATTTACAGTGAAATCTTCAAGTTTTCATCTAATTTCAAACCAAATAGATCAGAAAAAATGATTTATAATCGCATAAAGATTTTACTTAGCAAACAAACACAAATTCCAATAGATAATAAAACAAATTAAATCTTACTACAGATAGTCCACTATTGGGGCTAGATCGTCTTGCTTGCTTACGTGGTTTCACCATAGATTCCTTTTTGTGATCTCATAGTTTCAAAGCAGAAATGAAAACGGACAGTAACAAACAAAATATATATATATATATATATATATATATGAAACAGTTGGAACTTTCATAGTAAAGGTTAAAACTTTCTTTTTCTTCTTCGTGTGGTAACGATTGTAAAGAGACAAAGGAGTCAACGGAGCTGGAAACCAAAATCGGGGAGGATTAAAGTGGAAGATCAAATCGAAGAAGGAAGCATATGAGTAGTGAGAGAGATGAAGGATCCTTCATACCTACGATTGATTAGTAACCTCATATGATAACTCAAACCTAAATATTTCGATCGGAAGGATGATGAGAGGCAAACATGTAGAATACTCTGCTTAAATAGAAAAATGAGGTGATGCTTCTCTACTTAGGTTAAGCCACTGTCTGCAATATCTTTCTCATTAATTGTCATACATTATCGCAAGGAAAGTAGTTATACAATAGAAAATATGAACATCACTTTACCCTATTCTCTTCTGATTCGGGATATACAATTTAGGAATCTCTCAAACAATTAAGTTAGGCACTTCAAAGTAAGGAATACAGTAATTTACTTGAGGAAGAAGGTTTTCATTGTAATTGTTAATCGGATCATACATAGATTATATAGTATTCGAATATTACATTTAGGAAATAAAGTTGAATTCGTATTTAGATTTTAAGCAATAAGATGCAGCCTTAACTATGACGATTATATATATATGGAAACTGCTTACCAAAATAAAAAATATATATATATAATATATATATATATATGGAAACGAAGAAGTTTGCAGAATCTTAACTTTGGGCCATCCATATTCCTAAATTTGATCCATAATAGAAGACAATATATTAAAAGCCCAGCAACCGGGTTAAATAAAGTAAGTATCCGTCAATGTTTTAAGGATCCGCGTGTTTATCCGTTTTTCGACCCGAATAATAATGTAATTATTTAAATAATTCAAAAATGAGTCCAAAAAACTGTGAGCTTGCCACATCAGCAAAAATGTATGGTCTTTAATATATTGTAGGATTTAGAATCATTGAATGAATGAATAAAGGGGGATTTTGACAAAGATTTTAAAATTACTAATCCAATAAGGAGGGATTTTAGCTTGGATTTTTAAATTCATTAAAATCCATGAACCAATAAACCAAGCAAAGCAAAGGGTAATGACAACACATGGAACCTCTTACATTCGTACAACTGTTCGATTTTTAATGAAAATCTTGATTCTTTTGATACTTATAGTAATCACAGAGCTTTGTATTGTGGATGCATATAGATCATACTGTAGGAATATAACGGTTGGTTATCCGTTTGGGATCAGAAATGGATGTGGGCATCCAGGGTATAGAGATCTCTTGTTTTTTATGAATGATGTGTTGATGTTCACATAAGTTCAGGTTCTTATAGAGTATTGGATATTGATTATTATAATAGGATATATGTGAATATAGCTAGATAAGTTAGACTTATGTCAGGATTGTATATATACTTGTACTTGTTCATTCAATAAACTAAAGCAGTTCTGTGATCTAACTCTACAATTATGCGTATCACTCCATAACGCTGCATGGTCCTCACATGTCCACTTGTGAAACGATTGTGCTTGGTGGCAAAGGCAGTGGCTTTGAAGCTGAGGATTGGACAGCTCCTTATTTCAATCCTACTTCTGATAATGCCTTTATGTTGATTGGATGTTCTCCAAAATCTTCCATTTTTCAAGGTTAGTAACAAAAGATACTACTGTACATTGAATATTACATATTTGGATTCAAATCCACACTACATTTGGTTTAGTCTAGTACATTTAAATCATTTTCAGTTACTCCCTTCTTTTTTTTTTTTTTTGGAACAGCTTTCAACTACTCCCTCTGTTGTACAAATATAAGGGTTTTAGAATTTTTTTTTAAAAATTTATAAGGTGTTTTTTTTCTATGCAAAATTAAATGTGTTTTTTCTGTTGCTTTTGACTCTTCTGCAGATTATTTTTCATTACTTAAAATATTTTGTAATTGATGATAAAACATAATTTATTTTGAAAAAACCTTAAACCCCTTATATGATGAAGAGATAACTACTATGTTTTAACTTTTTAAAAAGGCTAGAGAAATAGTAGTAAACACCTGACCAAAATAATAACAAAACCAAACCGATTTGTTTACCAAACCGATATTTACTACACATTTGCTACTCGGGTTCGGTTTAATATGGTTAAAATTGGTTAATTTACCACTCCTATTTTCTTAGGCTTTCCCAAAAAGAAACTGCCATGCCACACAACATATCTGGAATGAGTTGCGAAGAGTACATGTCGTGTCCAGCATGGGACTTGGTCGGATACAGGAAACCGGGTCTATCATCCGGGTCGGGTCCACCCATGTGTTGTGCGGTCGGATTCGAATCTGTGAAAGCGATCAACTTAAGCAAGTTGGAGTGTGAAGGTTATAGTACTGAGTACAATCTTGCACCGTTGAAGCTAAGAGGACCTTCTGATTGGGCGTATGGGATACGAGTCAAGTACGAGCTACAAGGAAGTGATGTGTTTTGAACCAACCAACATTTTTTTTTTTTTAATAAATATTAATCAATTCTAGCGAAGGTCTTAAAAATAAATTAAATAAATAAAATATCAATAACAAATAAATCAGCTCAGCGGAAGCAAATAATAATTAAACAAGTCTAGCAAAATAATGCAAAACAATAAAACAGTAAACATCCTATCATCCCCCTCTTCAGCCTTGATTCCGCGATCACACAAATCTTTTACCTGCAACACATTGGAATGGAGTTGCGTAAGTATTTAATAAATACTTAGTGAGGCAATCACTCTGCCTACGAGCCATTTACGCAATTTACTAGATATTTAATAATATTTATAAACTCAATAATTATTAAATACCATTTTCCAATTATTAAATAATTTTTAATAATTAAAACTCAATTTCTCAATTATTAAATAATTCTCATAATTAAATAATAATTTTCCATATTTTAAAATAATTAAAATAATACCAATTAATTAAATAAATATTATTTAATTAATTAAATCCGAATTAAATCTATTTAATTCCATTAAACCAATTAAATTCAATTAAACCAATTAAATTCAATTGAACCAAGATAAACCAGAATCAAATCAATTAAATTCAATTAAACCAATAAACCAGATTAAACCACACAAACACACAATTCATCACATGAACAACCAAAATATCATAAAAATAACAATTAAAACATAAACTCATCAAGAACAACCACAAACCAAATCTAATCTAGCAAATCACGGACCCACAGTCATGCACTCACCTTGACAATGATTGAAACTGAAGGAAAAAGGAAGACGATGAACAGTGCCGAATCGCGGATGAACAGTAACCCGTGAACAGTACCGATGAACAGTAACCCGATGAACAGTGATGAACAGTCGATGAACAGTAAAATTCGAAAATCTCTCCAAAAACTCAACTTTTCTCCTCTACAGCATCTGAACTCGAAAATTCTCCAAAGAGAAGACGGCTGCACTCTTTAAACTTGATTTTAGGGCTTTCTCCACTAAACCGACCCAAACCAATTCACTTAAATTGAACCGACAAAATTCCCAATTTTTATTTTTGGTTTATGGATGTTACAACTCTTCCCCACTAAACTGGATTCGTCCTCGAATCCCAACGCAAACGTCACAAAGACCACAAAACCCAACCTCGCAAGGCCGCAACACCGGAGATCCTCACTTGATCCCCGAGACAAACGTCATATCTTATGTCATAAACACGTTCCAAGAAAATTTCACTCCTAACTCATCATCCAAACACACCAAACAACTTGTACTGAGGCCCACTTGCACCCAGACAAGTCCACACCGGTCCGCACTGAGGCCCACTTGCACCCAGACGAACCCGAAAACGTCCATACTGAGGCCCACTTGCACCCAGATGAACTAAACTGCTTATACTGAGGCCTACTTGCACCCATATAAGCTACACTCAACTGAGGCCTACTTGCACCCAGAGAGTCTGCCAGAGAACGAAGTCTCCAAAAACATGATGAGTTATTCAGGATCGCAATCCTTAGAGTAAAAATTCCGGAAAATGTCTATAACCATAAGATTAGACCGTCTCACAACCAAAAACTGGTCAAACATGTGTAACATCCGAATACCTTTTCACAACACAAGGCAAAATGAGGAAAAACTGCATCTCATTAAAACTCCAAAATGTATATCGTTACAACGAAAACGAAAATACAATAACACCAAAGCCAAAAATAACAACTGAGGCTACAAAGATGAAATAAGCTCACTCCTCGACCTGCTTGTCGAACCACTTCCTGAACTTCAACTTCATCTTTGCCTCTGGCTCCCAAGTCTCCTCTGTAGAACCACTGCAATCCCACAAAATCCTCAGTAAGGGAATCCTCTTGTTCCTCAGAACCTTTTCCCTCCTCTCTAAAATCCTCATAGGCACTGCCGGCACTGTCAAATCTGGCTGAAGATCCTCTGGAATCCTAGCCACTAACTCCTCTGTAGGGTGAAGACACTTCCTCAGCATCGACACATGAAAAACCTTGTGAAAGGCTTTCATAATCTCAGGCAACTCCAGCCTGTAAGCCAATGGCCCAACTCGCTCCACTACTGGAAACGGACCCATAAATCGCGGACTCAGCTTGTTCTCTGCTATGGATCTGTTAGGACCCCTCAACATAGCCATCTTGAGATAAACTCTATCTCCAACCTGAAACTCAAGCTCTCGTCTGCGTCTATCTGCATAACTCTTCTGCCTATCCTGAGCCTCCTTCATGTTCAGCCTCACAACACGAACCTTCTCTGTCGTCTCCTGAACATAAGTAGCTCCATACATGCTGCGCTCCCCCACTTGGGTCCAGCATAGGGGTGTCCTACATGGCCTCCCATACAAAGCCTCAAATGGAGCCATGCCAATACTCGCCTGAAAGCTGTTGTTGTATGCAAACTCAACTAAGCTCAGGTGATCTGCCCAATGGCCACCCCAATCCAACACACACATCCTCAGCAAATCCTCCAAAGTCTGAATAGTCCTCTCTGACTGACCATCTGTCTGCGGATGATAAGCTGTACTCAGATGCACCTTAGTGCCCATCTCTGCCTGAAACGCCCTCCAAAACTCTGAAGTGAATCTGGGATCACGGTCTGACACAATACTAGCTGGCACTCCATGCAGCCTCACAATCTCTCGCACAAACTTCCTAGCCAAGACAGCAGCTCCATCTGTCTTCTTGATGGCCAAGAAATGTGCAGACTTAGTCAACCGATCCACAATCACCCAGATAGCATCGAAAGTCCTCGAAACAGGTAGTCCAACCACGAAATCCATCGTAATCCTGTCCCACTTCCACTCTGGAATGGGTAAACTCTGCAAAAGACCACCCGGAACCTGATGCTCTGCCTTCACCAAGGCACAAGTGTTGCACTTCGCAACCCAGTCTGCTACATCCCTCTTCATCCCGACCCAATGATAGTACCTCTTGAGGTCATGGTACATCTTGGTCGCTCCCGGATGAATGGAAAACTTGCTCGCGTGAGCCTCTCCCAAAATCTGATGTCTCAACTCCACATCCTTAGGCACACAAACTCGCCCACGAACCAAGATAGTCCCATTCGCAGAGACCTCATACTCAGAACCAGTCACTCTCGTCGCATCTAGCAAACTCTGATCACTCTGCTGAGCAACTCTGATCCTGCTAAGTAGATCCGCCTGATCCACCGCCTCTAAACCCAAAGGCTCATGCGAAATGGCACACAAACGCAAGGTACTGATCTCGCCAACTAGAGACTCCACATCTCGCTCAACTGCGGAATCATACCTCCGTCTACTCAACGCGTCCGCCACTAGGTTAGCCTTGCCCGGATGGTAGTTAATGCTCACCTGATAATCCGCCAAGAACTCAACCCAGCGCGTCTGTCTCGCGTTCATCATCGGCTGAGTGAAGATATGCTGCAAACTCTTGTGATCCGTGAAGACCTGTACTGTCTCACCTAGCAAGTAAGACCTCCAAATCTTCAACGCGAAGATCACTGCTCCCAACTCTAAGTCATGTGTAGGACGGTTACGCTCACTGCCCTGCCACTGTCTCGAAGCATATGCTATCACTCTGCCCTCCTGCATCAGCACACAACCAAGACCAATGCCTGAAGCATCTGTATACACCATGTAAGGCTTCCCTGGCTCGGGTAACGCCAACACTGGTGTAGTAGTCAACATCTCCTTGAGCTGACTAAAGCTCTCCTCACACTCAGCTGACCAAATAAAAGGGACATCCTTCCCGGTCAACTTCGTCATCGGCTGCGCCATGGTAGCAAACCCCTTGACGAACCTCCTGTAGTATCCTGCCAAACCCAGAAAACTCCTGATCTCGGTGGCACTACTAGGTCTAGGCCAATCTCTGATAGCCTCAATCTTAGCCGGATCCACAGAAACTCCCTCTGCAGAAACAATGTGGCCAAGAAATCCCATCTCTCGCTGCCAGAAACTGCACTTGCTCAACTTAGCAAAAAGCTTCTGCTCCCGAAGCTTCTCCAGAACCAACCTCAAGTGAGTCGCATGCTCCTCCTGACTCCTCGAGTATACCAGAATATCATCAATGAAAATGATGACAACACGTCCAAATACTCCCTGAACACGTCGTTCATCAATCTCATGAAGGCTGCCGGCGCGTTAGTCAAACCGAAAGGCATAACCACAAACTCAAAATGCCCATAACGCGTCCTGAAAGCAGTCTTCCTGACATCTGCCTCATCTATCGGGATCTGATGATACCCCGATGCCAAGTCAATCTTGGAGAACCAAGTAGCACCCCTCAACTGATCCAAACTCATCAATCCTCGGGAGTGGGTACCTGTTCTTCACAGTGACTCGGTTAAGACCTCTGTAATCGATACAAAGTCTGAAACTCCATCCTTCTTCTTCACAAACAACACCGGTGCTCCCCACGGTGAAACACTTGGTCGAATGAACCCCTTAGACAAAAGGTCCTCTATCTGCTTCTTCAGCTCTGCCAACTCAGCTGGCGCCATCCTGTAAGGCGTCTTCGATATTGGTGCTGTCCCCGGCTCTAACTCAATCGTGAAAGGATCAGACCGAGATGGTGGTAATCCCTTCAGTGACTGAAAGACATCCTCAAAATCCTGGACAACCTCAATATCTCCCATAACAACTCCAGCTCCTGACTCAGACATAGAAATCGTCGCCAGATACGCCTCACAGCCCCGCTCTAACAACTGCTCGGCCTGAATAGCAGATATCACAATACTCCCGGAAGTCGGTCTCACTCCCTGATAAACCAACCTCCCTGCATCTCGCTCGAAGACCACTCTACCTCTGTAGCAATCCAGATGAACTCTGTAGTGTGACAACCAGTCCATCCCGAGAATAACGTCATACAGCTCCACCGGACTGATGACTAAGTCTGCTGGCATTGACTGCCCCGCAATCTCGATCTCGACTCCTCTAGCACGGCCCAAAGTAGACAAGAATCCACCTCCCGCCACCTTGACCATGCCCGCGCTCTCGCCCGCGCTACTCCGGATGCCACTCTTCTCGGCACGCTCCGGTGTAATGAAGCAATTCGATGCTCCAGAGTCGAATAAAACGTGGGACTCAAAACCGCCCACTAACAAGGTCCCTACACATTCAATTGCGTTGAGAACCTCCACAAGACTATCACAGATAAAAATGACTAACAGACAATACACAACAACAATTCTATACTAAGAATTTACAAAGTCTGAGTCGAAGATTTACCTGTGATCTGTCCGGTCTGACTAGTCCCGCCAGTCTCCACCGAAGAGTAACCCCGCGGCGCCGGTGCAATCTGACCCAACGGCTGCACTGCTGCGATCTGACTCACTGGCTGAGCCGCTACTGGCTGAACCGAAGCCACCGACATACTCCGCAACTTAGGACACATGGGCTTGATATGCCCAGGCTCCTTGCAGTAGTAGCACACCCTCGGTGCTGACTCTCTCTTGGGACAACTCGAAACACGATGCTCCGTGCTCCCACACCCAAAACAGGAACCACGAGGAAACTGACTAGCACCAGAAAACTCCTCTCTACTCCTCTTCTGACCCTGCGCAGGCAAACCGCCCCTGCCAGAACCAGAACTGAAACTCGAACCACCTCTGCGCTGCTGCTGCTGCTGCTGTCGCGGCTGCTGATGCTGACCCCGAGGCTGGGTAGCAGAAGCAACTGCTGACGGCACAGCCACCGGACCAACTGGCCCACCAAGATCCGCCTCAACCGACGCGGCCAACTCTACCAGACTCGCCCTCGAAGTGTGCATACTACTCCTGCATAGAGTCCGAATATCCTTGCGAAGTCCCTCCAGAAATCTGTTCGTCAACTGATGCTCAGCCTCCATACCAAAGCCCGCATGCACTAACAGACGGCTGAACTCCTCATCATACTCGCGTACAGAACGCGAACCCTGCTCAATGCCCATAAACCGCATCTGAAGACGATCACGAGCCTGCCTCGGGAAATACTTGGCGTTGAACTCCACAAGGAAGTCGCCCCAAGTCCAAAATGCCCTCCGGCCCACCGCGGCCTGCCACCACAAATGAGCATCGCCACTCAAATAGTGGACCGCTAACTCCACCCAGTACTCTATCGGACAACGGATCGAATGAAAGTTCCGCTCCACTCTCTGACGCCACGCGTCTGCCTCCTCTGGACCAACTCTACCCTCGAAGAAAGGCGTACCAATCTTCTGCATGTGGCCCATAAACTCCAAATAACTGGTCACACCCGCATCCACAGCCTCCGGCTGCGCAACGCCTGCAGCAACATGCTGCACCTCTGCCACTGGCGGTACTCCTGGAGCCCCCTGTGGAACCACCGGCGGAAAACGAGCCAACAGCTGCGTCAGCAAACCCACCACTAAGTCATCATGACCCGGAGCCGGAGCGCCACCCCCACCCGGAGCAGCCCCCGCTCCCATACCAACACTCGCACTGGCATCACCCGCCAACGGAACTGACTGGGTCACCGACGCAGTATGCACACTCGGTGCCGCACTCTCTCCCGACTCCTCCGGAAGTCCACGACCACGACCTCGGCCTGCTCGACCTCCAGCTCTACCACCAGCTCTGCCGCCACGGCCAACTCTGCCGCCACGACCTCTAGCACCGCGCCCTCTCGCGCCACGACCTCTAGGAGCTCCGTCCATCTCACTGCATGGACCCGAACATGAGCAACTAGACAATAACACAAAACACAAACACCAATAACTAACCGCGGAATCTCCTTTAGCTGAAGGGGATGATACTAAGCCTAGCAATTCTAGCTGTCCTAAAACCGTCTAGGCTCTGATACCAAAATGAAACAACCAACATTTTTTTTTTTTTTTTAATAAATATTAATCAATTCTAGCGAAGGTCTTAAAAATAAATTAAATAAATAAAATATCAATAACAAATAAATCAGCTCAGCGGAAGCAAATAATAATTAAACAAGTCTAGCAAAATAATGCAAAACAATAAAACAGTAAACATCCTATCATCCCCCTCTTCAGCCTTGATTCCGCGATCACACAAATCTTTTACCTGCAACACATTGGAATGGAGTTGCGTAAGTATTTAATAAATACTTAGTGAGGCAATCACTCTGCCTACGAGCCATTTACGCAATTTACTAGATATTTAATAATATTTATAAACTTCAATAATTATTAAATACCATTTTCCAATTATTAAATAATTTTAATAATTAAAACTCAATTTCTCAATTATTAAATAATTCTCATAATTAAATAATAATTTTCCATATTTTAAAATAATTAAAATAATACCAATTAATTAAATAAATATTATTTAATTAATTAAATCCGAATTAAATCTATTTAATTCCATTAAACCAATTAAATTCAATTAAACCAATTAAATTCAATTGAACCAAGATAAACCAGAATCAAATCAATTAAATTCAATTAAACCAATAAACCAGATTAAACCACACAAACACACAATTCATCACATGAACAACCAAAATATCATAAAAATAACAATTAAAACATAAACTCATCAAGAACAACCACAAACCAAATCTAATCTAGCAAATCACGGACCCACAGTCATGCACTCACCTTGACAATTGATTGAAACTGAAGGAAAAAGGAAGGACGATGAACAGTGCCGAATCGCGGATGAACAGTAACCCGTGAACAGTATCGATGAACAGTAACCCGTGAACAGTACCGATGAACAGTAAAATTCGAAAATCTCTCCAAAAACTCAACTTTTCTCCTCTACAGCATCTGAACTCGAAAATTCTCCAAAGAGAAGACGGCTGCACTCTTTAAACTTGATTTTAGGGCTTTCTCCACTAAACCGACCCAAACCAATTCACTTAAATTGAACCGACAAAATTCCCAATTTTTATTTTTGGTTTATGGATGTTACATATCATACTAGTATATCAATAATAATATATAAATAAAAACGATCATGAAATGAAAGCAATTAAATTTTTACAGGTGTATATCCTCAAGAACAATTCAATGAGAGTCATCCAAAGAGCATCAACTGCAGTTAATCATTGAAACCCATATAGTATAAACGAAAATTTGATCACATTGACCGAGTGGCATATAATTCACGACTTAATGGTCAAAGTCGTCCGTAAAAAAAGATTATAATGGAATCAAGCTTTTAGCAATTCTTACGCTAATTAATAAAATAGTTTCAATATTGGTTTACTCCAAGTTGTTGATCTGGTATTTACTTCTTCTTTTTTGTCAACATTTTATATTTACTTTTCACGAAAGATATTGAATTCTTTTGACCACCTAGATTTTATCATCCAATTGTTTTAGACTTAAAGTGTTACATAAGTAAGTAAGTAACCAAGTGGATGGTAAATATAACCTAATTCTTTTGTTTATGATTATTTGGCATTATAAATACGCAAATTTGACAAGTCCACTAGGGCAAACTTTTTTTTGTTAAAAAGTCCACTAGGGCAAATTTTGTTGTAAATGTGATCAAAGAAGTTAATACGATCAGTTAACAATACTTTATTGACTACTACTCCATTAATTAGAGAGGACATTAAACCTTATTTGGTTAATCTTTGGGGCAATTTTTATATATAACATTAAAACAAGTTTTTTTTTTTCTCTCATACCATTACTACCTTTTGTTTTCATGCATACTATTTTTTATAAATAACAAATAACATAAAAACTTAAACTAACTTTAAACCTTCAAAACTAAACCACAAACATTAAATATTAAACTCAAACCCAAATATTTGAATTACAATTTTCTAGAAAAGTTTCGTGCATGGATGAAAAAGTGATATGGTTAAAACAAATAAAACTAGCGATGATATGAAAGAAAAAAAAAACTTAGTCTGTGGTATTTAAAGAAATTTCTCTAATCTCTGACGTAAAAAAACGATTAACACTTGATAAGTAGCAACTAATGTTGGAAAATTGCTTTGAGCATTCCATTGTA